CCACATGTAGCTAGTCACTAACTTATTGGACAGTGAAGCTTTAGGGATTCTTTGCCTCCTTCCAGCCCCTAAATATGAACCATACTCCAGACTCAGTTTTTGATTCCCTGAGCTTTTCTTTGTAAGTTCATCCCCTAAAAGCACAACCATCCCTGCAACTTCAGCCCTATCTCTAAATTCAACCCCAAATCTTATCTTCAGTTTGTCACCAGAGTTCCAGTTCCATATCCTCAAGCACTGTAAATCCCTCTTGAATGTCTCACTTTTACTTCAAACTCAGAATGTTCAAAGCTGAACCCATAACTTTTTCTACAGAACCAGTTCCCCTCTCCCTTAAGACATTCTTGTCTCTGATGTCTTCATTGTTTTCTCAGACTCCCAGACTTGAAATTACCTTTCATACATCCCTCTTTTTTTTTCTCCATTGACAGCTGGTTACCAGGTGCTAACACATTTTCCTGCAGAATCCCTCTCAGCCACCCGTGCATTGAAATCACAAAATTTATTGAACCCCACTCTGTATGGCTCCTACCCAAAAGAAGCCAATAAACCAATTAAGAGATATAATGGAAACATACACAGATTCAGGAAATATAGAAGAGAAATAACGAAGTTTAAAGTACCCTAGATGCATTTAAAAGTTCCCTCCAAATTCAGGAATGCCAGGCATCAGTCAGCTCCTTCTGAAAGAGATCAAAGCATGCTTTGCCCTTGGCTGGACTTCTGCAGCTCTACTTGGTACTCCAGACTTTTCTGCTCCTTTCTGTTCTGCACCTGCCATCAAATTAATCTTCCTCTTCCTTGCTCAAAAAACATTAGTGATTCCCATGATCTACCAAAGCAAGAGGCTCTCTGGCAAGTCCTCTGCCTGATACTTAATCACGCTTACCTCTGAGCAAGTTAACTCACCCTCACACCAGAATTGTCCATTCCTCTCCCCCACCCCACCCTCCACACCCACAGTGCTGATGCAAATTCTAACCATTGTATTCTTCTAACAAGCCTTTAAACTTCAATTCTTAACCTCTTTCCATAAAGCCATTGCTTCCAGCAATCCACAACTCCCTTGCCTTTAACTTTCCATTATACTCAAGAGTAGGCACCCTTAATATTGCATTTAATTCATGGCAGCCTTGTCCCTACTGTTTCAGTCGTAAGCATTCTGTGCACAGCACATCTCACCCTTGCATGGCTCACAGGCAGTGGTTCTCAAAGAAGGGGAGTGGTATGGTTTACGAACAAAACAGCTCTTCATTTGTCCCACTGGGGCTTTTTTTTTAAGCTATGACATTAACTTATTTGAATTTCAAATATTAAAAGAAAATGTTAGATTTCTATGCTTTATCAAAGGAGACATATTGTTTATCGAAAGAGTTCGAGAAACAGTTCTACAGTGTTGAGCAAATAGAAGATAATCAATAAATATCTATTGAATATTCATTGATCTCAGTAAGCCACAAGTTTGGGTTCCATTAGGACTGAAGTTTCAGACTTTATTTTAATGGAGAAACTGTTAGAAATATGACCTGTTCATTGTAAAGAGGCCAGAAAACTAGTATTCACCAGCTGAACAAATGATCAAAAACTTATAAGGAAATCTTTAAATGTTTTATAAGCCATTTGATACAAATAAAATATATATAATGTATATGTAAATTATAAAGCCTAATAATAAATTAGGTGACCCTATCATCTAATTTAAAATATTTCTGGTACTAATAACTAGCCATAATTTATTTATTTTTATTACCCATTATTTAGGGTTCTATCATCCTCAACTGTGTGTTATTATTTTTGCTCTAATTATATATACTCCAGTGAGTTATTTTCTTAGTCTAGTGTATTAAATATATAATTTTTAAATTTAAAATATTAATATTTAAGTTCACACATCACTGAGGCAGATAAAATGTGAGTCCGGCTCTTTAAATTAAATCATAACATTCTGGAATTTCCAGTGGTTAAATGTCTACGAAATATGTCAGTGTCCTGTCATCCACTGGAGCTAAACTTAATCATTCTGAATCTTGGATTTGGGCGAAAAGGGATATTTAGGGAATTAGCAATAATTTAATATGGATTTTATTGATTATAACTGATGTAGACATAGTCAAAGATAACGTATTTTAAGTCATCTTTATGTTTATTGATGAATTCAACATCTACTAAGAATGAACAAAAAACTATCTGAACTACATAGTCAAAATCTAGTACAGTAGTCAAAAATTCATAGAGTGGCAACTAACGAGTAGGTAAGTTTTCCCATGTGCAAATTATAGCTTACCTTCTGAATGGGTGGAATCGTAGGATACTGATGGTGAAAGACTATGAAAATAGCATGAGGTCTGTACAAGGTAGGGTTGAGCAGAGTTTAATCATGGAAATTTTTGAGGAGGAAATCAGAGCATATAAAGAAAAGATTAGAAAAGAATATTATGAAGGTAGGTAAAATCTATGGTAAAGCAACAGAATGGAAAGAAGTACAACTTTATAAAATGTACTTAATGTATGTTAAAAGTGAGTGCATATAAAAGGCAAATTAATAAACCCACAGAGTTCCCCACAAAGACATATCTCTGAAAATATAACAGCAAGATAATAGAAAGAAGAGCAGTGTATATATATTTTTAAATTTTTAATGATTTACTTTTAGACAGAGAGATCTTTCGAGAGGGAGAGAAACATCAATCAGTTGCCTGTCCCGTGTCCCCTGACCCTGCCTGCAACCCAGACTGTGCCCTGACCAGGAATCGAACCAGGGGACATCAGCTTTGTGGGACCACACCCAACCAACTGAGCCATACCGGTCAGGGCAAGAGCAGTGTGTATTTGGATGTATATGCTTTGTCCACTCAAAAGCAGGGACTGGCAGAAAACTGACCATATAGTAGGACTTCGATGAATTTATTGAATACATGATATTTAACTTCTTTAGGCTATTATGCATTATTAGTCAGCTGTCCCTAATTTATTTTGTGTTTTATTTTTAATTTATTTTGTTATTTTTAATAAACTTTTTTTTTAGAATATAGACTTAGAAAGAAAAGATTACAAAGATAATAGAGTTCCTATACCTCTAGCCTAGTTCTCCCTAAGGTGGGCTAACCAGTCATCCCAGTTTTCCAGGAACTGTCACGGTTTTAGCACCAAAGTTCCACATCCTAAGAAACCCTTCTCCCAGGCAAACAAGGATGGTTAATCACAGTACAATGTTAATATCTTACATTACCATTGTACATTAATCAAAACTAAGAAACCAACCAACATTGGTGCGTTACTACCAACTAAACTGCAGACTTCATGTGGATTTCGCCACATTCTTATTTTCCTTCTGTTCCAGGATTTAATTCAGGACACCACATTGTGTTTAGTTGCCAGGTTTCAGCATCTTGTAGCTTGTGAGAACAGTCTTTCCTTGCCTCTCATGGCCTTAACTCTTGAATTTTTGTAATACAGAGTAATTATAGCTCTGGCTGGTGTGGCTCAGTTGGAGCAAGCGTTGTTCTCTAATGGGAAGGTTGCGAGTTTGACTCCCCTCAGGGCACATGCCTAAATTGTGGCTACAGTCCCCAGGGCACAGTCCCCAGCTGGGGTGCATATGGGAGACAGCCAGTGAATATTTCTCTCCCTCTCTCTCTAAAAGCAATGAAAAAAAAATGTCCTTGGGTGAGGGTTAAAAAAAATTTTTTTCAGCCCTGGCTGGTGTAGCTCAGTGGATTGAGCACGGGCCTGAGAACCAGACAATCGCTGTTCTATTCCCAGTCAGGGCACATGATGGGGTTTGCAGGCTGGTTCCCTGCAGGCCAGTTCCCAGCAGGGGACCCACGAAAGGCAGCCATACATTGATGTTTCTCTCCCTCTCTCCTTCCCTTCTCATCTAAAGATAAATAAATAAAATAAAAATAAAAATAAAAATAATTTTTTAAAGTGTAATTATACGGTATTTTGTAGAATGTCCCTCAATTTGTGTTTCTCATGTTTGGACTGGTGGTGTGGGCTTTGGGGTCCTCAGTTATTTTTAAACTTTGCAAATGTCAGTTCTTATGTTTATGTTTACATAGCCAGTGTGCACTTTAAATTCCTCATAATATCATTTTAACTTTTAAAGGAGATTAAATCACTTGTCCAAGAGTCACAGTCAATTTTTGACTCTAGATACAGTTTTACATTAGGGCCCACAAAGGGCAAAATCAAATTGCTCCAATTCAAAAACTCCTTATTTAAATGTTAAAAATGACAGAGCTCACTGCCCAGGTTCCCTTTGAAGCCATAAGTGTTCTCCACTGGTACCCTCACAGGGTGAGAACACACCACCGTTTGGCTAAATGAATAAAACTATTTGAAGGGTTATTTTTCTAGTTTTGAAAAGAAAATCTATTCTTTGTAGAATATTTAGAAAATAGAGATAATTTTTTAAAAAGAACATTAAATTACCTGTATTCCTTCACCCTAGAAAACCCACTGGTTATGATTCTTAACCTTTCTTTTTTATATTTTTTTACTTTTTTTTCTTGCACATTTTCTCACATGAAAATTGGATTATACTGTTACATGTTAATTTTAACTAACTTTAAAATTTTGATATATCATGAATACCCTTTGAAATAATTAAACACCTATGACATTTTAAAACTCTGCCTAATATTTCAGAGTATAGATGTGTTATTTAACATCCTGTAGCTAAATATTTACACAAATCCATGATAATGGCCACACGTTAAATTTCTTTAAGTGGACTTCCTGCATCAAGGGGTGTACACAACTTTAAGGCTTCTCATGCGCATGGCCAAACTGCCCCCCCAAAGGTTCTATCCATGGATACGCTCACTAGCAACTTGTAGAAATACCCATTTCTCCACATATTCACCCACATGTTTATTTTTTTTTAATTTGCCAACTCGATAAAAACATAGCATTTTTTGTTTTAAGTTACATTTTTATTACAATGAAGGTGAGCATTGTTGTATGATTAGTGCCACTTGTATTTCTTACACTGCATTACTTGTTTAGACCTTTTATCTCATTTTCTATCGAAGCATTCATCATTTTCTTATGTATTTGAAAGCGCGCGTTAACGACATTAAACGCTTTCTCTTGTAGATGAGTCAAATATTTTTTCCAGTTTTTCACTTGCCTTTTAATGATACTTTGATAATCAGCGGTGTGAGTCCTTCCCCTTTGTTCTCTCTCTGCCTTTGGTAGCGGTCTTCTGTTTGGGTCTGATTTGCCTTGAATATTGAACTCAGTCCTGAAGCCTGATTGGTCCTATGCGGGGCAGCTCCTAGTTGAATCGCGCAATCCCGTCACCCAGAGGTTTCAGCACAGGTTTAACTTCCCTTCCTCGTGAGGCGATACCCTGAGTCCTCGCAATCCCAAGCTTTAGGAGAAAAAAAAAAAAAAAAGAAATGAAAGCATATAGAATAGCACACTGCCCTGAAAGCTGCCAAATTCAGGCTGCCGCCCAACCTCCAAGGAAATAAATTCCAAAGATAGTAATAACTCAGAAAAAAGAAAAGAAAAGGAAGAAAAGCCTGTCTTTTAACAGAATTCAGGTCCCAAACCTCAGATTCATCTGTTTTAACAGTTTGTACGGTGCAGAGGAGGAAGCCCCAGCCCACCGTTTGTGAGCCCCGCTGCCCGCAGGTGCTGCCCTGGGGCTCCTGGCTCCCTCTGAGCAGAGAAGAGAGCTGGGTTCTTTTTTTTTTTTCAGTTGCATTTTTACCTTTATTTTAATTGTTGTTCATGTACAGTTTTCTTTTACTCCCATCCCAGCCCCCACCAGCCCTCCCTACCTCCCTCACATTTCCACCCCCCTTAGTTTTTGTCCATGTGTCCTTTATACTTGTTCCTATAAACCCTTCCCTTTTCCCCTGAAATTCCCTCCCCTCTCCCCTCTGGTCAATGTCAGCCTGTTCTCTATTTCAGTGTCATATTTTTTCCTTTCTTGAAATAATAAAGCATAATATGCCAAAATGTTGCTTATTTTCTTCCATCTTCAAAATTAAAATGGCTATGCAAAAATTAATGAATTTTGGTAAGTTTTTAAAAGTGCAAGCTGATATGTCAGCTGTTATAATACAATCTAACAAAACTGTTTCTTTTTTTAATTTTTTAAAAATTTTATTGATTTTGCCATTACAGTTGTTCTATTCCCCCCTTCATTCCCCTCCACCTGCACAGCCCTCCCCCACCATTCCCCCCCTTTAGTGTATGACCACGTGTCTCAAGTTCTTTAGATTCTATATTTCCCATACTATTCTTGCCCTCCCCCCTGTCTATTTTCTACCTACCGTCTATGCTACTTAATCTCTGTACCTTCTCCCCATTCTCGTCCTCCCACTCCCCTGTTGCTAACTCTCCATGCGATCTCCATTTCTATGTTCCCACTCCTGATCTAGCTGTCCTCTTAGTTTGCTTTTGTTTTAGGTGTGGTTGTTGATAACTGTGAGTTTGCTGTCCTTTCACAGTTCGTCTTTTTATCTCCTTTTCCTTAGCTAAGCCCCTTTCACAGTTCACATAGTAAAGGGCTTGGTGACGAGTCAGACTCCGGGATTGCCTATTTTCTCTTCTCCTGACCTCTATCGTGGGACCTCTGGAGCCCTGACAATTTCAGGGCCCGTGCTGGGACTGAAAATTACTAGAACCACAAAGATTTAAAAAGCCTTCTTCTCTCTCTCTTAAATGAAAACATTTAGACAGCAAAAGTTTTACATTAAATTTAAGCCCAGAAAAAAATAAAGAAAACGGAAGGCAAGCAGAAGGGCTGGTTCATGGACGGTAAACACAGGGGCTTTGTGTGGCAAATCAGGAGCCTCTGGAAGGCTCCTTCGCACTTTCCCCAGGACACTCCCTGCCACAACCTCACCATAAACGGTTCCTTTCTGAAGTGCATGACCCAGTCCCCACATAGAGGGGATATTTGTTAGTAACTGTTAGAAATGTAGTAGTTATTGGCAAGTATAGGGGTCTATGAACTAGGTGTTTGTCCTCAAGTCTTCAAAGATGCAGATTGCCCTCTGCACCTTAGAAATAAAAAGGTACCTGTACTTCTGCCTGATTTGCACTTTTCTGTTGAGGAGGGGGACCTGAGGGAGACAAGAGGCCACATGGCCTTGGTAAGGTAGGTACAGGAAGTGGGAGGGGGTGTGCTGGTATCTGAAGCAAGTCCTTACTCTGCTGGATGGGTAATCCAGCCTTGATCTTGAGGGAATACCATACTGCTGTTAAATGGTATAAAAAATAGGAAAAGGGATGTGGTATCACCCTCAATCACTACTCCCAGCAGCTGGTCCAATTCTGAAGCTGCAGATGCCAACAATTCAACTTCCAGTCAGCAACCCCAGGTCAAATCCCTGACTCTCAAGGGCTCCAGCCTAGCAACTGCTCGATAAAGCTGTGTATAGAAATATTTTCTTAAACACTTGTAAACTGCCTGATTTGTAGAGTTTCCTTGTTGGTGACCTTATTTTGCCATCCAGTTTCAATATTAATTCAGCTTGGAAGTGGAGTGGAGGGATGTCCCAGCTTGAGCCTGGGCTGGGCTCAGAGCCAGGATTCAGATTTGTCTGGGCAAGTCTGATGGGCTTGCCAGGAGTCTCTCAGCATGAGGGACTCAGGAGGCACACAGAAAATAACCTCCTAAGGCAGTGTGGGTAAGGGGACACATCACAGGTAATCAGAATCATCAGAGAAACTTTAAAAATATTTACACGCTCTGCAAATGCATTCCCCATTTTGATCATGTGTGAATGTGTGGGTGTGAGTGCATGCTAGCAAGGAGCACTGCTTTGGCACCAAAATTGGCCCCCGGAGTCATACAGATCAGCCCACACCAGGACACGGTGGACTCCAGAGAACACAGGTTGGCTTCTGTGTGTGAGAGTCCCCCAGGCTGTGGCAGTGTGGCCGTACTCTGCAGCTCTGCACACCAGTGGCTTCTGCATTTCAGGGACTGCCTGCATCAGGAATTGTGCAACTAGGTACCATGGACCCCTGGGAGGCTGAAAATAGGCTCCTTCTGAAAACTGCATGCAACTTAGTTTGTGTGTGTGTGTTTATTTTTCTGGAAATAGGTTCTATATGTTTCTTGGATTCTCAAAAGAGGATGTGATCTTCAAAGATTAAGAACTGGCAACTGCCAAAAAAAGTATCAGGGCAAGCAGATTTTGTAAGATTCTGAGAATGCCACTGTGGTAGATATGGGCCAAAGCCAGAAAAATACTACTGTTTTTTCAATTAATGTGACATGCTTTACCTCACAGCACCAGTGACCTGGTAAAACACTAGTTATGTGAAAATATGAAATCCTACCTAATGCTTCAAGCCCACCTCAAATGCTTTCATCTCCTCCCTGGCCGAAAATTATTGCTCCCTTGCCGAAGCCGTCTGTGTCTGTGTGCCTCTCATAACACAACTTTATACCTTGTACTTTGGACCTGTGCACAAACACCACCTATCTCTTCTACAAACTATAAGCTTTGAGAGTAGGAATTGTGTCTTGCCCCTATTCTCTCTTACCATGTCCAGCACAGCGTACTTACTTAGTTATCATTGGATGAGGGAAGGAACAAGTCATAAATCCATCCTATCTGCTAGACCTTTTTATCTCACTACTAAAAGCAACTAGCCTTATTCCCTTACAAATTATGCATTTGAAATGAATTCCTTATAATTTGTATTGTTGTAGTCAATCGATTTACTTCTTTATACATCATCCAATATTCACCTGCCTTATCTGTGTACTTGGCTGTAAACCACTTAGAGGGCAAGGGTCACATACAATTGAAACCATGCAAACCTGCATGCCTCTTGGCAGGAACAAACAGCCCTAACCAATGTGTTCAGTGCCCTGGCCAGCACACCCACGAGGAAATCTTTCGTAAGAAGACACAGACCCGGATGAACAGAGGTTGGTAGGAAAGAAAAAAAGGAACTATTAGTAGGAGCTAAGTAGAAGAGCAAAATCAACAGATTCTGAATTCTGAAGAGCAGATAAAGCAAAGAGAGAGCAGCCTGAACCTGTCTGAAGAGGGAGAGTGCCAACAGGAAGGAGCGCAGCCTCTGGAGGGTGTGGCGGGCCGCCGCAGAGAGATTTGGCATTGGCTCCACACAGGTTTGCACAAGCTGCCAGGTTTTTCCCAGCTGTAGTCCCATATGCAGTTTGCTTCCTATTTGTTTCAGGTTTTTCTGGTGTTCAAAAAACCCTGACTGCACTATTACATGTAAAATGATGTTAATGAAATTGTTTGGGGTTATTTTTTAAAAATTTTATCTATTTATTTTTAGAAAGAGAGGAAGGGAAGGAGAAAGGAAGGGAGAGAAACATCAATGTGTGGTTGCCTCTTGAGCATCCCCCACTGAGGACCTGGCCCACAACCCCAGGATGTGCCTCACCGGGAATTGAACCAACAACCCTTTGATTCGCAGGCCCACACACAATCCGCTGAGCTATACCAGCCAGGGCTAATGGAATTGTTTTACAAAATAAGTCTGTTCTTCAGAATTAGAACAGAGGCAAAGCAGAGCATTTTCTTTTTATGCTCACCAAGGGCATTTTTTTTTTCATTGCTTTTAGGGAGAGAGGAAGGAAAAGAGGAAGGGAGAGAGAGAAACATCAATGTTTCTGACCAGGAATCAAACCCACAACCCTGTGGTTATGGAATGACGCTCCAACCAACTGAGCCACACTGGCCAAAGCGAAGTATTTTAAAACAGATTTGAGCATGTACCTGATTATCAGAGAGAGACAGCTTTCTCCCCTTTTTCTTTTCTTCTCAGTTTAATATTTACTTACATATTCACCTGTACATTAACACACCCTTAGTTCTCCACAGTCAAAGTGTCTAGAGGCTTGCATTTTCTTGCTGACCATTTCGGCTTAGTGACTGAATGGTTACTGCACAGTATCCTGGGGATGTTTACTAACTGATGATGTGCACAGTCACAAATGTCAGACCCAATATTCCACGGGCAAGGGTCAAACTCAGGAAAGTGCTGGTGGTAGAAGTAAAGGTGAAGCTAATGAGTGGCTACATGGCTAGTAGCTTGACTGGTGATTCTAAATGAGCCCCCACTACCCAGAGACCAGCCCTTGGACACAGGAATAATGTGAAGGTGAATGCAGTTAGATAATCTAGACAAGGTCACATTGCTTAACAGAAGTGTAAAGTATTCATTCATCAGCATTTATTGAGTGCCGATGTGTGGGATCCATCACCAAACAGAACAAAAATTCCTGCCCTGGCACAGTTTACATTCTAGCAAAAAAAAAAAAAAAAAAAAGTCCCATCTAGGCATCGTCTGTCCGTCCTGTGGTAGTTCTGCATCTTCTCTCCTTCCGAAGTCCCGGAGGTCACTAACTTCCTGCTCAGTTATTTG